AATAATAGTAGTAGAGGTAATAGTAAAAGTACTAGTACTTGTAGCAGTAGCAGTAGCAGTAGTAGCAGGAGTAGTAATAGTAGTAATAATAGTGGTAGTAGTAGAAGCAGAAGAAGTAGTAGCAGTAGTAGTAGTAGTAGTAATTGTAGTAGTAGTAGTAGTAGTTGTTGGTGTTGTAGTAGTAGTAGTATTAGTAGTAGTAGTAGTAGCAGTAGTAGTAGTAGTACTAGTAGTAGTAGTAGTAGCAGCAGCAGTAGTAGTAGGACGAGTAGGACCAGTAGGACCAGTAGGACCAGTAGGACCAGTAGGACCAGTAGGACCAGTAGGACCAGTAGGACCAGTAGGACCAGTAGGACCAGTAGGACCAGTAGGAACAGTAGGACCAGTAGGACCAGTACTAGTAGTACTAGTAGTACTAGTAGTACTAGTAGTAATACTAGTAGTACTACTAGTAGTACTAGTAATACTAGTAGTACTAGTAGTACTAGTAGAACTAGTAGTAGTACTAGTAGTACTAGTAGTACTAGTAGAACTAGTAGTACTAGTAGTACTAGTAGTAGTACTAGTAGTACTAGTAGTAGTACTAGTAGTACTTGTAGTACTAGTAGTACTAGTACTACTAGTACTACTAGTAGTACTAGTAGTACTAGTACTAGTAGTACTAGTAGTACTAGTAGTACTAGTAGTACTAGTAGTACTAGTAGTACTAGTAGTACTAGCAGTACTAGCAGTACTAGCAGTACTAGTAGTACTAGTAGTACTAGTAGTACTAGTAGTAGCAGTAGTAGTAGTTCTTGTAGTAGTTCTTGTAGTAGTTCTTGTAGTAGTTCTTGTAGTAGTAGTAGTAGCAGCAGCAGCAGTAGTAGTAGTAGTGTGACAACATATTTTCCTACTTAAGGGGGTATCGCTCTTCAAGGCTCCCTATCGCTCCCCACAGGAAATCACAGATTTTTGAAAGTGACGGCGGCCGAATACTAAATCTGTACATACCATCTTTTGACCCTTGCTCATATAGATACCCTCCTATAAACTATAAAATAGATGCTAGACGTGGAACATTCACCATTTGTGGATCATACTTGGAACGGGGTACCATTGGTTTTTCCACATCTGTAAGTTTCAGGGTGCCCCGTTTTGTCGTCATTCCAGCACTGTGCCAATTCGCCAAGCTTCAAGCCGTTGCTGTCTTGAATCCCCTTCTCCAAGCCTTGCGTGCGATCCAACGCATGCGTGGCCAACTTTGCCTTCAACTTTTTCCGGAGATCCTCCGATCGCGGTGGGATGGAAAACCACGGTGTTTCAATGGTTGGATTTGGTTGGACACCATGGTTGGATTATGTCCTGGTTATTTTAAAACTGATTGGCTTTACCATGCTTCCAGTGCTGCTCCTTTTTTTTTTCAAATGCTACCAACTTGATCTCCAGGTGGTCCAAAAACTGCCACAAAAAAATGCCAATCAAGTTGGAGAACTCACTAAATACAGTGATTAACAATTTAACACTAGTTTACAGTTAACAATTTATATAACACCTAGTTTGATCTAGTTTGTCCATATTGAAATGACCGTTAAATTCGGGACGCCTGGCAGGCCTCATTTTTAGACTCCTGGCCTTATTCCAAAATGCTACCCTCAGCGTCCTGGCGAGACAAGGCTGGTTCCGATGGTTGCACGTCTTGCTGGTCCTTCATGCCACTGTCTGCCTCGTGTGTGCGAGGGCATCGACAGTGCCCCTATCCGATAGCTATCCTCCTGCATCAATCGACCCAGGGGAGGTCAAAAACATCCGTGATGGGTCAAAATTTAAGATCTAAGGGACCATAGAACTTAAGTTTTAGTATGTTTTAGTTTATTGTTAGTGCTAACCATCTAAGCATTGGAGTATCCAATTTTGACCCATAGCCATCTATAAAAACACACTGGAACACGCCAACGTTTAATGGAAGTTCAACGATATCATGATCATGTTGTTTCCCAGGCCGGATGGGCCTGCCCGGGTGCTTCTGTGGCAATAGCTGCGAAGCGGTCCTAGGGGAGCGGTGATATGAGGATGTTGACATCCTTCAACATTCCCAACAAAATAAAACACTATAGGCTAGAGGCAAACAATACAGTAATCCCAATTTCCAGACATTTGAAATAAAAGAATGTCTAGGTTGGGATAATTCCCAACCATCCATCATATCAGAGTGAGGTGAGATCGCAACTTTCCCACACATATCCAAATTTTGTCGCGCGGCCAATCATTTGGGCCCTGCTTTGGATGGGATGCTCAGCGCAGTCAGCTGAAGATACCCAACTCCCAGGTACCTAACTTGTACTGGGAGAGTCTGAAGCAAACAATGTTTATTTTTAGCCCCAAAAAATAAGGGTTTCCTGCAACATCTTCCCGCAAACAAACCCAATGAAGGTCTATACGAAGTTGATGTGACCCTTGTCGTCAGAATTAAGTAATTACCCATGGGGGCCTATTGAACCATCAACATCTTGGTGGCTTGTCTATCCCCGGATGAAAGTTCACCTTTGAGCTTTTAAATCCATCGGAACCCGAGTGTATGACGATTCCATCCAGACAACTAAAATCACTGTACTGCAGTCCTCACCATCATCACACAAGGTATCGAAAAGACGACTGTCCATTTGCACAGCCACCACTCTCAGGATTCCTGGATCCCCAAAGGTACCTACTGAGACATCGGTGATTTTAAGCATCGGATTTATGCCACATCAGCCACCTATCATCATTGTGTGTGTGAAAGAGAAGTGCTCCATCACGTTCCATAAAACATCGCTTTTGGGGTACTTAATCCATCCCTCCAATGTTAAAAGATCAAAAAAACAATTACGTCCAATGCCACCTGGGTGACTATTCCTTGTCGAAAAGAACACATTTTGTGACATACCGTTTCATGGTTTAAATCCCTTGTGATGATGAAATTCAAGTTATGAACAAAACAAGACAATTGGTGGCACAGCAAAATCCCCATTCTTTAATCGTTGAATCAAACTTTCTGATGGTTAAACGTTGCGGTTTTTCAAGGGATGATCAACTCCAAGGCGCCGCCAGGTCATCCACTTTGCCGTTGAAACGCGCCTGGACTGGTAAGGAGCCCCCTACTATAAACGCCATATTTTCTGGAGGTGTTGAATATTAAAGGGCCGAAAAAGGGGAAACGGATTACGGATTGCTTTTCGATGTTATTTCGGGGGGCAACTCAAAATTGTTATTTTTTGTGTTGGGATTGACGAATATGGACTGTTCGATCTTTTTGGGCACCCTGACGTGTGGTAAATCATGCGTGGCTGATTTGTTCCATGGAATCTGATGTCAGCAACCATCTTAGGTATCTTGAACAATTTGAAGTAGAGGTAGTGTGCCATGTGCTACCATGTCTTGGGGTGATGCTTTCTTGTCGCCTTACACCATACAGATCTTAGGACCTGGGTCCCACAGACATCACCGGATACCCATGGATACCCCAGAAGCGCTGATCAGGGATTGCCTGGAAAGTGGGGCAGGTATCATCCCCCCATGAATGATCAATTCAACATAGGTTTTCTATTGGGTTTACCATGGTTTACCACATTCTTCTGATCCCCATTGTTTTTCTACTGGATAACATGATCCCGCCAAAAACATTTGTTTTTCCCAACCTTCTTCCGCTTCTCGTGCTTCTTCTTGACCTTTTGGCGTTTCTTGATGATCGCCTCCGACCACGACATACCACGACACTCCGTTCCCACGGCCCCCCCATGTCGCCCCCTACGGCCTTGTTGTTTTTGCCGCTGCTCCTGGAAGTTCAGAAAGAACACTTAGTGGATCTTAGTGTTGATATGTGGTGATGCTTGGTTTCAACATGTTTCAACCCATCTGAAACATGATCTTACTTGCTTGAAGGATATTGAGAATCATCATATTCATCATCCAAAATATGGAGAAAGCACGTGAAAGCACCAGCCAGAAACCTCAATCAAAACAGCCAAAATGGGATCGTCCATCCATAGACCCATAGACGTCTACAAAGGATTCAACCAGCACGGCTCCTGATGGGTTTTCTCGCTCGTCCTTTGATCTTACTCTTTGGTGTTTTGCCCGCCATGGCAGCTACCGAAAATCCCAGGTATTCCCAGCTGCAACACCATCTAAGCCTGAGCATTAACGAAAGCTCTCTGACCCCAGTGGCCACTTAACCAGTTTAGAACCATTCATGATCACAAGGGCTGAGTTTACAGCATCCCTGACCTGATGTGAGAAATGGCAGCAGGGCGTCTGTAGTTGGGCTAGTCTCAGTGTCACAAGGGTTTATTCCATCATCTAACAGGGTGTGACCGATGAGTGTTATGAGGCTTGGTTGGCTTTCCCAATTCCTTGAGAACCCCCTCTCAATCTTACCTCAATCATCTCAATGTGGAAAACGCATGAAAAGGAATCACATCTGACTTTACTATTTGCTCATTCTGGCAGTTGTTGAGTTGATCACATTGCTTCCTAGAACTTCAAGGGTGCGAAGCATGCTGCAACTATCAATCACGGACTTGGCAGGGAAAGCAATCAGGAAGTCCTTCATGGGAAAAAAAAACTGTGTGCAATGGTCTATCCATGGTGTAAGGGTTATGGTCATCCCATCATTGTTGGAAATCCTCGTGTTGGCCATTGTAAATTTCTACATAAATTTCTACTAATGGAGGTATGATCATCCCCCAATCTTCTGGGCATCCTCTGACTTCCATTTCCCCAGAGAACTCCCCAGAGTGGTAAATGGTGAACAACTTGGATTTGCACGACTGCGGTTTCCCCCAGTGGCCCAGTTAAGATAAAACATCATGGCTTATGAGCCACAATGGCGGATCATTCCCGACTTTCACAGCATTGCTTTGCAAGAAGCCATGGGTTCCCTGCAAGTTTTCCGTCAACGCAATACATCGATAGTTTGCATGTAGTGCCTGGCCTCAGTCCCAATGATAAATGGCTTTGTCTGAACATCCCTGGTGCCCCAGAATTCAGTGGTTTATCATAATTTTCCGCTTTTTTATTGGGAAGACACAGCCGTAGGCCTCACATGCGTCACTTTTATGCTGGTGGCTGGCGCGCGGCCGACCAACCTCACGTTGACGTCGATGCTCGGTGAAACTCGCCCTCAGGCGACGCGACTGGAGTGACTGCGTCGATTCGTGCCGACCTCAGCGGTGAAAACATCGCCAAAAAGCACGGCCATTCGACAGCTGTCTTGCTGACAAACCCTGGCGTTGCAACGAAATTCAACCTCTCTCTTCGTGTTGGTTTATCTGGTGGCACATGCGCCCGGTGATTGATCATATTTAATCTTGATATATCTTGATCAAACCAATCAAAATTCAGTTTGCAATTTGGAGGATGCTTCTTTGTGCTCATAGCTGTGGGGAACATGCATTAATCTGGTTGAATTATAGAAATTAAGCTGAAAATAACTGCTATATACATACTGTTAGCATACAGCCAACTATGGGACTTTGGGACTGCCTGGAAGGAAAGACAACAGCAGCACATGACCTTCCCTGCAATGGGAAATTTGGCCAACTGATGCAGATATCTGCTACAGTAGGTGGAATTTATAAATCCCACCCTGATTCTATGAAGTTCCTCTACCAGAAACTACCCTCACGTCATCAAACATTGTTTCCTGGCAAATTCCCGGTTTGGTTCGACATGCTTCGATCTTCCCATAATATAAACCTCCGTTTAGTTCGGGGAGTTCCCACCTTTGATGGGACCGGAGGCTACTTCTGTGGTAAATCCCGCAGCAATCCCTGCCTCTCACGACGCGGGCAGACTGATGATTCCTCTGGCGAATTTCAGCCGGTGAACTCCTGACGACCAAAGACCACCAATGACCACCAATTGGGGATCGCCAAAGAATCAGTTCTTGTGAAATGGGGGGGATGCTTCATTTTTGGGGTCTTATAGCGGCTTACTGCGTGTCAGTGCTGATGGAGCCTAGCAGGCAAAAAATCCACGGGTTCTTCAAGCCAATGTCGTTTCCCATGCCCTCCGTGCATAAAGTCTTACACTCAAATGTGCAAATGTGAGCACACACATGCCCATATAAATGTGTACAGTATATTTATTACATATATATATATATACATAATTATATTTAAAAAAAAAGTTTATATATGCTACCTCCCCTCCAAAAGATCTGCCTTTTTTGGGCTAAACCACAGGCACATTTTTCAGACGATTGGCAAACAAACACTGGTGAGATGATATTTCCAGACATTGCCATCCATATGTTTATGTATATGTATGTATGTATGTATGTATGTATGTATGTATGTATGTATGTATGTATGTATGTATGTATGCATGTGTGCATATACACACACATATATAAATATTATATACATATTATATCATATTATATATATATATATATCAATGTTTACTGATGCAATCTATACCTACATGTTGAAATGTTGGTGCCGGCGTGCCTTTGGTGCACTTGATGGCCTCCCAGAAGGTCGGCTCCACTTGCTCCACCGGCGATGCCCTTGGCCCAGGATGTCGCTTGCAGTTGTGTCACTCCAGATAGAGAAATCCAATAATAACATATATATATATAAATTATACATAATATATATATGTATATATATATATATAAGATGTATGAAGTTAGTAAAGCCCCCGGCTGGTGCCCCAGTTACATATCTTCGGGCAATCTCTTATTTTTGCTTGGAAAAGCACCAGGACCATAACTGTGATCTTGAAACCAGGGATTGTTCAGCAAGCCATGTTTGATTGCCTGAGGGCAGAGAGCAACTTTAACCATGGCAATAACCCAGTTTGCTGGAAAAATGTCGGCTAGTTATACTCTCATCAGTATCTTCAAATTTATTTTGCTGAACCCCCGCGTGCTTTCAAGCCCTATCTACTTATCACTTGTTCACCAACTGAAATGGCCAAACTTAGATGCCCTGCAAGTATGTATGCATATATATGTGTTTGTGTATACTGTATATATATATTATATAATATATACATAACATTTCAGCTGGTTGCTGAACATAACCATCTATAGCAACAACATCCTGTTGCTGTACCAGGCTGACCCAGTTCTTTCCGTGCCTGGGATTGTTTTCGATCCGCGCCGCGGCGATCTGGGTGAGGTCGCCATCGAATTCCTCCTTCAGTGCCTCGTAGTAGGCCAGCATATCACCTTTGCCTTCCTGAACGAGGCGTTTTTTGGTCAAGTTTGGGAGGCCCCAAGGACCAAATGTGCAGTTGATGGGGATATAAGATGATATGAGGGGGATATACTGTAATATGTATATATATATTTATTTATTTATTTATATATATATATATACATACCCTATTTTTTTATACCTATTTATATCTATTATATTGGAATACAGAATGTGAGTTGTACAATGATCACACAATATTCGGGAGACACGGAGAGCCCAACAGCGATAATATCGGGATGTAATGGGTGTGTTACTGGGGGATATCCATTGGATATTGATGAGAAATCAACGTATCTGGCGGCTAAACCGAACGGTTGGTCTGAAGATGTTCAGATGCCCAATATACGACCAGTAATGATTGGGGAACATGGGTATGGCCGTGGCCTTTTGAATACTATGATGAACCAGTGGGTTGAGGATTAACAAAAAACATAGGATGCCAGGTTTCCAACTGGCGCTATGATCATTTTTCCATGTTATGAGGATATCAAATGGAATATAACGGGATATAAATGAAAGGATATACCTCAAAAATGTAAGTTTCATGATGCATATGATACAGCGCATATGATGATGAACCAGTGCATTTATGGCAGTTACCTGATTTTTGGACAAACCCATCTGGCTGATAGTTGGACAGCACATGGGAAAGGATCAAGATAGCACTCTGGTGACTGCTGAACCAATAAAAAAAATATAAAAAGGGCGCTCAATTTCCCGCTATCATGGCCTTCGCGGGCTGGGACATGTCGATTTAATTCAGAAAAAAAGGGTTGAAGTTGTACTTTTGTAGGTACTTTTTTCCAGGTTTGATTACCAAAGGATATCTGATAGCAGAAACCCAACCAATTATCATGAAACTCATGAAAGATCCATTCCTACATCGCCAAGGGGTGGTTGATTTTGAAAAACTGGTTGAAGCCAGCATCATCCAGCCCAGTGAGCCATTGCTTCAGGCGTACATGGCGTTCCTCTTCTTCTCCTTGGAATTTGAGAACGGGCCCATGGCATTCCCCACATGGATTTGATCCAATGAAGGATCGAAGGAACTGCCACAATAATCTCAATATGAAAACTTGAATGAGAACCCCTTGGGATACATGGTAATCCCTTCCCTCCAAAAAAAGAAAAGTGGCAAAGTTTCATTCTGAACAAACGCCCCTCATACATTCCCTATAATTATTGGTGGATCACACAATGCCAATGGGACATAGGAAGCCAACGGGTCAGCAAATCAGACAAAGTAGTAAAGTAAATGAAACATTTCCACAAAACAAACCCAAATATCTGCAATATTCATGGATTTCTATGGGTTTCTTGCGTGTGTTCCATGTTTTTGTTTCCATATTTTTTTCTCCAAAACTCGGCATCATAAGCTCAATGTTTCTCCAGTTTTCGTTCCGCATGTCTTGTTTTCCATGATTTTCCATGGTTTTCCATGTTTATCCCAAGCATTTTGGTCCCGTTCTCCAACGCAGAATGGTGAAGCGCCAAGTCTCGAGGCCTCTTGGCTGGTGGCACAGGTCCAGGAGGCCCGCGCGCAGCGGAGGGCTTGGCGCGGCCTTTGCCCTTGACGGCGCCTAGACCTCCGGCGGAAGATGCTTCGCTAAAGCGAAGTTAGCTAAGAACTAGCCTCTGGATCCCTCTGGTAAACATATAAAAAGCTATTGAAATGGCCATTTATAGTGAGTTTTCCCATGAATAGCATGGTGATTTTCCATAGTTATGTGAGTTTACCAGAGGGTAATTTGATCTGTCTGATATTTAAGGTGGCAGAGGTTTTGGTTGATAAGTGATATTCGAAATTGGAAACTGTTTTGATATAACAATAAGCACATGTCCTGTACCTTTTACGTATAAGGCTTAAAGTTAGTAGTTGATAGCTATAAATATTCTAAACTCAAATGCGTATTGACTAATTAAAAGTTATTAAGTAAATAAAAAGGAAATTTGTTAATATTGGTAATTGATGAACACGTTATATATCTGGGTTGAGATAGAGATAGAGATAGAGATAGGGATAGGGATAGAGATAGAGATAGAGATAGAGATAGCGATAGGGATAGAGATAGGGATAGAGATAGATAGAGATAGAGATGGAGATAGAGATAGAGATAGAGGGCAAAAGAAGGACACCCCGCAACCCGTGGCTGGCTGCATTTTTTTAAATGTGTTTTATTGATTCAGAAGGTTGTTTCTTATAGAATGATTCTGAGGCATATTTATGGAATGCGTCGGCAAGTTTAAGCATCTGAGATTGTCTGAGATAGAAAACCAACTGGGGGTTGGAGGGTTATGCGTTTGTATGCGACTTTGATCGCTATAATATACTCCCTTCGCGATGAAAAACCAACCCAACAGCCGGTAAAAAAACGTTAATCTATGCCTGAACAATAGTGTTCACCCTCTGGTACTCAAACTTGTCCATGGAAAATGCCCATTTTGCAGAGGTAAATGAACCTTCACATGCGGGATACCGTGTTTGAAGTACTAAAGGGCAAGGATCTCAACTGGGGGCTGGAGCTATCATGAAATATCCCTCATCAAACCCAGTCAAAAATTTGAATATTTGCCCGGCTCAATCAATGACGCGACACCGAAGGCAGCAGGCTGGATCTTCACACCCTTGTCCCAACCATTGAAGGGCGGCTGGCTGCCGGCTCCAAGATTCGGGTTGTGCATAAAGGCCTGAGTTTCTGCATGTTTCAAACTCGGGACCCTAGTTGTATATCATAATGTTATAAAAATGACTGTCCAGGTTTTTGAATGCTTTCCAGTGCTGACCCAGTCTCAGGGTGAAAAACTATTTCCATTGAAGAACATTGAAGAATAACTCAAAAGGCCGGCACGAAGCTGAGCTCACAGACCTCAGTGCCACCAACTTTGTCACCGAACCACCTTGGTGCGCCGATTTTCGGCTGAAATTTCAACTTTTGGTTTGGTATGGTGGTTGGGGAACCCATATGCACACACACACACAGACACACACACACACACATATATATATAATATCTATCAAACAAATACACATGTGTAATGTCATGCAACATAATGTATTGACATGTGATAAAATGTAGCACAATGCACTGTAATGTAACGAAACGTAATGTAATGCAACACAAGCCAAGCAATGTAATGCAATGTAGCGCAATGCAATGTAATGCAACGTAAAGCACTGCAACGTGATGAAATGTAATAAAATGTAGCGTGACGCAATGCAATGCAATGTAATGAAGCGTGGTGTAATGTAACGCAATGCAATGTAACGTAATGGAATGGAATGCAACACAATGCCTTGTCGTAACGCAGTGCAATGTAATGTAACATGACGCAATGCAACGTTGATGTTACGCGATGCAATGAAATGTGATTCCAGACATGTGATGTAATGAAGTGTGATGTAATGTAACGCAATGCAACGCAATGTAATGAAATGTGATGCAATGTAACACGATAAAATGTCATGTAACGCAATTGAATGTAGTGCAATGTAATGTAGTGAAATGCAATGCAATACAATGCAATGTAATGAAATGCAATGTCATGTGCGTGTATATATATATGTAGATAGATAGATAGATATATATATACACATATATATATATATATGTCAGATATATATATATATATATGAGTCAATGAGACGTACAATCTGATGATATTCTTTCTGGTTTTGGCTACTGTTCAGAGCCATCTTTCAATGCTTACCCTTCCTGGAACCTGGTGGCGGCTTTTTTTGTCGCATTTTGTCCCAGGCACCATCCCAGATCTTCCCTGCAATCCTCGCCATTCCAATAGTAGAGAAAGACCGCATCCACCGAGCCCGTGGGATCTTCGCCGATCTTTTTGAAGATGAACTGGCGACATGCGAAAAAGGCGGCGCCATTGCACAAAGGGATTTTTTTTCATCAAGACGCAAGAATCACATGGCCAACATGACCAAACTCTGCCAAAATCACTTACCAAACCATGACCAGGTGGATTGTTGACCCTATCTGGTGAAAACACCACGTCTTGGTGAACTTGCGCCCTTCCCCAGCCCCGTGAAAAAAAGCAAACTTCAATGCATTTGCACCGTGTTCAATGCTAGAATCACACACACAACAAAAAGAAACCAATACAACCCCAGCTATAAAACTCACGGCCCATATCAGATAGGATCAAACGAAGGTTGTGTCGGTTAAACCTGCGCATCATAGCAAGCAGCATACTATTCTGAATTCTGACCCTCGGTGGGGGATTTCCGAGGTTCTTCTAGTCACAAGTCATACTCAGGTTGGGGTGTTTCAATCCCATATCATACAGTATCATTCTGATTCTAAAACCCAGTCAGGGGCATACTAATATATGTTGTTTTTATTTCGAAAAACATTATATATCATAAGCAAAAAAGAACAGTAATAACAATATACAACAATTCACTAATGTTAAAATGGCTGAAATAAGGCCGTCTGTGGATGATTTTCCGAATCCTAACATTCCAGTATTCATCCAGATATATCTCCCTCACTGATCCGGCCTGAAACTTTTCAGCCGGTCACCCAATGGCAAGTTGTTAAGAACCCTGGTGACCACGAGCCCCCTGAGTTTATCCCATCTAAACCCATGTTCGTAACTGGTTAAAAACAACCCTGGTATACCCTGATTATTCAATCAACATCATCAAACTTGTACCGGCGAAACCAACGTGTAGCCCACACAGCCCGCTAAGTCTCCGGTATTCTCCGGTAAGTAACCACTTCTAATCCCGTGAAAAAATGGGATGACTACCATGACTAACCCAATCGCCCACCTTGCCATGGTTCATGCCATCCTTGTAATATTCGCCCTCGAGCGCTTGCCCCAGTGGGACGTCCGTGCCGCCAAACACCGTCAGGGCCGCCCGCGGCGCCGCCTTGGCCTATCATCACGGTGGTGTCACATTTTCGATGCTCCTCGTACCAGAAAATCCATCACTTGTTCCTACACATACCCATGTCAGAGGTAAGATGAGGTAAGCAAGTGCTACTTTTCACAATATATCACAGTATGACTTCCAAGTGAACCCATCACTTTCCATTCTCTCTCTCTCTCTCTCTTATATCCGCGGGCAAACTCCCCAGTGTAATACAGGGATGAGTGAAAGACATGTTTAATGGATTTCGCACATCCCATTAAGATGTTTGTTCCTGGTGATTCCCTAAAGAAGAGCCACCGCAATGTTCAATTGGGACACTTCCTCACCCCTGTGATCATCCCATTTTACCAAGCCCCAGTTTACCCATACCGTAATACCCAAGAAATATAGGTTTCATGGTCTTGGCTTTGCAATCTAAATCCACATGTTATTTTCCCTCTGATTTGTCTCCCTGATTCTCCAAGTAAATCTAAATTCCCAATTACGGCGCCTTGGGTTCGCAATCTTTTCATCCACAAAAGCTTTCCATACCATCTTGGTGGTTCATCCCACTTAGTAAGTAGGTTATAACCCTGGTTAAAAATGGGATAAGTAAGGATAATTCACTTATAACTGGGGTTATAACATGTTATATAACTTATATATACTTTTTAAGTGGGATGAGCCACCAAGATGGTACCAATAGGTTTTGACATGTGGAGGTGTCCTATCCATGGGGGTACCCCTAAATCCTAAATGTTACCCTCTGGTAATTTAACATAGCTATTGAAAATGTCCATAGAAATAGTGGATTTACCCATGAAAAATGGTGGATCTTTCCATAGTTTATGTCAACGTTTACCAGAGGGTACGAGGATTTTCCATTCTCAACCAACCATTTTGGGATACCGTTGGCCCATCCCCATCCCCCCGCGGGCGTCCCATGGCCCCGTGGCCCCGCCTTTGCTTTGGCCTTGGCCTTCGGCACCTCGCGCTCGCGCTCCCTGGACCTGGAGCGTGCCTCGCCTGCGCCGCCTGCGCCAAGGAGGATTAGCTGGTAGGTAAAGCTACAAAAAGCATCATAGTTCAAAATAGTTCATTGACCTATAGCATCTCCAGTGATTTCAACAGAGTTCAACATAGTTCAACAGAGTTCAACAGAGTTCAACAACATACTCTCTGGTAAACTAACATAACTATGGAAAATCACCATCTTTGATAGGTCAATGAACTATATTTCTATGGGCCATTTTCAATAGCTATGTTGAATATTGTTAAATTACTAGAGAGTAGCCAATATCAACAATTGGAAAATTTGGAACATGATGGGAAAACTATGGGACAATTATGGGAAACAAATGGAAACAATGGGAAACTTGGAAGGAAAATGATGGGTAAATGATTGGAAAATTGGGATATCACATGATTCACCCGATAATGGTGGGGAAATACGATGAAATGCGGTGATAATTCATGGGATATGATTTTTTCAGGAATATTCATAAAATATCATAAAATAGTGAAATGGCACAGTGGCCCATACATGCACATACTCTGTGGCAATCAAAAATGGCTAGGAAATCCCTGCACCAAATGGAGTTTTACAGCTGGGAACAGCAAGCCATGTTTGATTACGTGAGGCTTAAGCGCGAAAAAGTGGAAAAAGTGGGCTTCGAATGGTCAAGAAAATCGGGAGTTTCTTGGAGGATCATCCTGGTGCCGGGCCCCTGCAAACCTCTTAGAACAATTTGGATAGGCACCAGCCAAACTCAGGCAACAAAAAAGCACAACCTTTGAAGTGAAGCATGTGCACATTAGATCATACTAGCGGGAATTGTGGGTACGAGCACCGTACTTAAGTCACATCAGGCGGGAAAAGTCACATCATCCCCATGGCACGGCGGCGATACGGAGAAGTCACATCAGGTAGTGGAAAGTCACATCAGGGAAGAAGAATCACCATGGCACAGCCTGTTTCATCCATACTTGGAGATGTAGTTAAAAGTAGCCGAAGCATTGCGCACAGCGATGATTTTGAAGGGCACAAGTTAATACAAACAAATTCTCGGCAGCTAATCCTATTGGATTTGAATATATTGTATTGATGTCCTGCGTCGCGTGACCAAATCAAACCCCTATTGGTACAGCCTCAAATTTCTTGCAATGCAAGTGGGTTAGCTGTAGCAAAACCTTCATTCCATTGCGGGCGGAAAGCGTGGCAGGTTTTGTCGGTGCTCCGTCTGCGCCGTCTGTTGTGTCTGTTCCGTCTTGCGCCGTCTTGCCGTCAGCGCCGTCTTGCGAGATGGTGCGAGATGGCGGAGATGGTGAGCACAGCGACACAACCGCGCTATGCGACCGCAATGTTTCAGTCCAACCAGCCAGAAACATTCCCTCCCTCTGCTGGTGTCTCCCGCCCGTACCTCCCGTCAGCGCCAAACAAGGCGACCGAGACTGTTATTTTCTGTTTCGGCAAATTGTAGAAACAGTGCTGAAAAAGTGATGTAGCGAAGATTTGTAGGTTGTGGGCACGCTCACCGAAAACTGGACCTCAAACATCAGCAGTTCTATCCAATGATAAGTAGCGATGAAACTACATCCGTTGTCGCGAAGCAAAAGATCAGTGGTCCAGCCACCATATTTTTGCAGCTAGCCACTTTTTTATTACCAGAGGGCATTGGCCAATATACCGTTACAATATTCCATCAATATTCCATTTGTAAATTATATATTATATCATGTCCGTTACATGATACCACTATGTTCCCAGCATTTCCCACCATATATTTTGTTTGGTGCTCTTTTTCTTCTTTGTTCTCCCTATAAATCCGCATAGTTGTTGGTTTGAAATCACCGTACATACTCAACCTATATCCCATAGGATCCATGTTTGGGGTATATATATGCTAAGATTTGGGGTATATTGATGGTAGATGTTAGCATATATAGCATACATGGATCCTATGGGTATTGATAAAAATTACATACCCTCTGTTATTTAACATAGCAATGGAAAATCACCATTTTTAATGGGAAAACTCACTATAAATGGCCATTTCCAATAGCTATTTTGACATAACCAGAGGGTAACCTTTATATATCGCAAGTGTGGATGCACTAGGGTGCCCTACCTCGAGGTGCGCTGCGCGGCGCTGGAGCTTCCGGGGTCAGTGCCAGCACCTGGCACATAATCCCAGTCCCTGATGGAAATTCATGGATATTGCTGGCTAAACGAGTAGTAATCAACTAATATATATATATATATATCATATCATCAACTCGAGTGGGATATTGACTTCTATGGTTACAAAAAATGTAATTTCATCCCCGAATATCGACCCTAGTTGGGGAGTGTTTGATATCAGGATATATCAGGGGGAAAGGATGACCCCTTGACAAGGCCGTATTGTTCGGGTGTCACCTTTTGGGGGGGGGGGAAACTGGACATATTGTTGTATACTTATCACAAGCTAGTGCCGCAGGTTCTGAGCTAAGTCGGACTATATCCCAAATAACTATAGGCTTTGTGGTAGGATGTGGTAGGTGCATCTATAGTCACCAATTTAATCCAATTTAGCGACCTGGGACACCGCCAGGATTGCCCCTGCCTCGTTCTTCAGCCTCTGGCCCAACACTTCCCCGTACTTTTCGGCCAAGTCCCGCAGTACGGCCCGGGGCCGTGGAGGGTGGAACTGGATTGGCTGCCCTGGGAGCCAGGACAAGCGACGGCTCCTGAAAAAGGCACCAGTTGGCCATGGTTCCACCCATTTATAAATTCTTCTCACCTCTGCTCCATCTGTCATCATCTGGCAGTGTGTCAAAACCTTGTACCCCTGGTGAAAATCAAAATAACTGGTAAATGGATGTTCATCCCCCTATAAAATGGTATTAATAGGTATTGATCGATACCCATCTGTCCATATTGTCCGAAGTTTGACTTCTAAACTTCCTTCGAAAAATGAGTCATCGCCTATAGTCCATAGCTAACTCCATCGCCTCAGTAGTGAATGTACCATAGGGATCCATAGGGTACTGGCAACGTTCGACACGATTCAACTCGCATCACAAAAGTCAAAGACAATTCCTTTAAAATGTGGTCAACTCATTGATGAATAAGTGGCTTTTCAATGAATGAGAGCAAGGAAAAAATAATGCACATAGTAGGTGTAATACTCGTGTAGATTGCCGCTGTAGATTATGCTTACATATGCCTCCCACGTATTACCAATACTTCTTTGTAGGCACACCACCGCCTTTTCTGGTTGCATCACTTCCAGAATCTCCCAAAAAGGCGTTGCCCCATCTCCTGGCCAAAATGATCGAGAGCCAACTCCTCAGCAGGATCTGATGGGGCGCTATCGCCCGAACCAACTCATGGCACCGTTGTCAGGCGACCAGTGGGATTGAGGGATCGAAGGTCATGTTTATTGCCTGAAAAGTGGGCTTTCAAGCAACGAACATGGAGATGTCAAGAGCAAATATGGAAATCGAGCCGCAAAATATGGGGATATATGGGGATGTTTTTCACCATGACAAGCTGCTTTTCTATGGCAACAATCAGCAACACAACTACCCCAACGATATTCAAACATTAGAAGCTGCGAGTTCCAACAAAAATCAGCCGGGGAGGCTATAGGGGCACATCTTCGGGGGCACGAAGAAACCCCAAAATTTCGGAAGCCACAAATTACAGGGCTGAATGCAGCACCCAAACAAGGCTGAGAACAGCCAAGATTGTTTTCTTGACCGTCTAATTTTCAATTTGTTGTATTTGTTTTGGTCTTCATTTCCAGTACATGGCTGCAATCATATGATTTGGGTGTGTGAAGTAAAGATAGAAAAGATCCAGAAAGGGCACCCTTTGTATATCACCAATTTGGGAATTCGGATGACAATGATGATACAGCCAGCCACCGCAGCGCTGAGATTTCAGCCAGATTTAACCCCTGCTGCAGCAGGTTCACCTTGATTTACCCAATTTACTCAGATTTGATGGTCAAAGCATCTTAGAATCATGTTGAAACACCAACTTCTTGCTGGCGGCATCGCCTAAATTCTTGGATTAACATTTGAAAATCCATATCTTCTTCCTATGAAACGTGCTAAATTCTTGGATGGAATTATCTTTACACATCTTTACACAAATATATTTCTGCTGCTGCACCGGCTAAATTAGTTTTAAATTCTCAGGTTCTATGTTTTCATGTTTTCCTGGTGAAACCAGCTCAATGCTCAAGTCCTTTGCAGGAAACCTCATTGGCACCAAGCGGCTCTCCCAAGGCGTCCTTGACTTTCGTATGCAGTTGTTTGAAGTCCTTCGTTCAACGGAACTCAGGATGGAATGCATGGGGAACTGAAGCTGGCACTGGACGAGAATTGGTGGTATTGTTTTCTCCCGATTTCTCTGTTGATGCGATGTTAAATTAAAAAACAAGCTTGCACCATTCAAACCAGAAAGTAAATGGGATCTGCTTTATTCAATAGCATCGTGACAGGGTTAGCGATCCATAAATCCATAGATCCTGCCCCTGCCCACCACTCTGACCCATGGATTCCTGGGACTGTCTAGTGAGTCTAGTGAGAATGACGTGCAGTGACAGGGGCCTTTGGGGATTCCTATGTCACTATACCATACTATACCAATCATTGTTGGATGTGTGGTAGTTATATCGAACTGGTTCATTGGTAACTTATAACTGGGGGCTGGGGGAGCACCACCTTGTACAGGTAAAGCACCATCAAAAACATAGAGAATCACAAGCCTCGATCTTTTCCGGGATCCATAGGGCGGTTTTTGCTGAAGGGATGGTCATCCCACAGTCTGATGGTGTCGATTCCCTTTTTGCTGGCCCCAGCTGTGAATTCAATCCTCATTGCATGGGGCTTCTGTTCTGTGCAGTTTATTGAAAATTAGCTCTTATTTTGCTTTAAACAATGGCTGAAGAACTGAACGTGACGAAAGGAAAACACAGAAATCCCAGCAGTTGGTCCAATGATCCACCTGTGATCCACCCCGGCACTGGCCTTCCCACCCATGGTCAATTCCGCATCATTCCAGCGCATCTCGTAGATGCCGCTGCCAGCAGCTTTCAGGATTGCATCCTGCGCCACGAAAGGCCACGGGGCGAACCTTGTGGGGACCCCACCTGGCTATCTGCATACGGTACAATACATAGAAACACATACGCACACATGTACACACACATATATAGTTAATATATATATATATATACATAGATGCTTGCAGATATCGTATATCATTTATAGGTATCCCATTGCACATGTAGGTATGTAGGTATGCATGCATGCATGTCTATGTATGTCTATGTATGTCTATGTATGTCTATGTATGTCTATGTATGTCTATGTATGTCTATGTATGTCTATGTAATTATGTCCATGTTTGTCTATGAAAACATGTATGCAGGTATACATGTATCCATGTGGCTTTGTATGTATATAGGTAAATAATTGCAAATAGGTAGGTAGGTGGGTGGGTGGGTAGATATGTGGAGGATCTTATCTGAGGAACTGGAAAAACGATTGCCATATTATACCCCATGCGAGCGCATGCAAGAGAGTACCCACATGTAGTCAAACATGGCAAAAGAACATGCCTCGTTTACAGATATAGACTTCAAAACCATAATTTTCCATTGCCACGTTTGACCACTGGAGTGGACTTCAAAATGGTACTTTTTTTGAGCTGCAAAACTGATCCAAAATGGGAATGCACCAAACAATCGGAGAGAAAAAAACCCTACAAGGAAATCAAATTGGGGGCACCACCCCATAGCATTCCAGGTAGATTATGATAATTCACGAACCTGAACCTTGCGGCGATATTATTAGGATAATCCCCCTTATATATATATTTATAAACATATATAAACCATTATAAACCATCATTCCATGGCTTCGGTCGCAGCGCCATGGTCGTGACCTGCCTCAATCTGTGACGTCCATGTTGTCAGGGCATCGTCTTTCTCCGCCACCTTTCCAACCTGGGGACCGATCGTACATGGATTTGCCCCTGAGATAAAATCCACACAGCAAAATGCAGCAGACAGATCATCCTAGAGAAATATCATGAAATATCTGAAGCACCCCCCCACTTACTTCGATATCCCAGATGTTCGCATTGCAACCCTCCATTTTTGTGGATTTCCCAGCCTTTTTTGTTGCGGCTGATCTTTCAAGACTTGGAATTCCCATTCCACCGACCTGCAGCATCTTCCTCACCAAAGTTTTCAACATCTCGCCGTCCTGAAGCAGCTCACCAAAGGTAATGATTCCCCAGAGTTAGCTAAGTTGGTGTAAAACTCCTCTCACCAGGCTTTATGGTGATGATATTCTGCGATTATAACCAAATAGGTGGGATTATAAACAACTGTTATCGTGGCATCGCGGTTTAGGAGAAACCAAGTAGCAAGTTCTGGGTTTTTGTAACTGGCCCCCCCAAAAAAGGCCCTTGAATACTTCAACAAACAACTAGTGACTATGACAAAGTAATGCTGCAACCTAACCCTGTGTATATGTGATATGTATGTGATATGTACATGTGTGAAAAGCTCATGTTTTTCGCTGGTGAAACCCCTGGTGAGTTGAAGCTGTCATGACGCCTCCCGAGCGGTTGGCAGATTGCTGACACCCAGGATGAGGGTCTGCACCAAGGCAGGCATTGAGGCCTGAGAAGTCGATAGCTGACCAGACGATGAGAAGGTTCAAAAGCTACCTGAACCGAAAAAAAAGAAGAAGAATAGAATCGGAAGAAATGGACAGAAATGGCAAGAAGCAAAGATGGAGGAGGATCCTGGTGATGATAGTAACAAGATATGCTTCCAAAGGGTTTAGCCATTCCACTTCCAGGTTTGCTTCGGCTATCTTAGCGTGCTTTAAGAGATAACACTCCCACTAAAAATACTAAAAAACACGAATGGAAGTGCGAAGGCAACAAGCTAACTACCGCTGTACACTGTACAGGCTACAGTTTTGCGGATCATTCCAAGATATGTGTCGTTGTCGGGCATTTCAAATGCTACATACAAAAAACAGTCATCATCGCATCCGTTGGGGCCATCTACCATGCTGTATACCCAGGGGCATGGCAAAAACCAAGGCACAAACATGTCCTCAGAAAAATGCAGGGCAGCAGTCAACATGTTCTTCACAAAGTCGCTGCTGTGTGTCTTGGGAGGGCTATCGAATACCTGAGGCCGTTGAGCCCTGGGCCGACCCTGGGCCCTGGGATGGTCTACTGTGGTGCCATGGCTCGCCTGGAGAAGGAAACCCACATATATCTTCCCTCCGGCAAACCTGGCAATTCTGCAGCGTCCCACATTTATATGAGGTGTTTCACGTGTTTCCCTTTGAGATAAAGAATTGATTGGTCAGTTTGATGAGAATGAATTTTCCGTAATCACAGAGACATATATTTCTGTAGATCAACTTGTCCATCTTTTCCCCAAGTCACTACCCTCTGGTAATTTAACATAGCTATGGAAAATCACAATTTTTAATGGGAAAACTCACTAAATGGCCATTTTCAATAGCTATGTTAGTTTACCAGAGGGTAAGAATGTCACCCTCCGAATCTCCGAATCTTTGACTACGACTACGAGGTCCTCAGCTCAGATGCTCCACACTGCTCCAGGCCCTGCATGATACGTCCAGCATAGGCCGCTTCCAAGCGTGGCGCACGGCACTTGCCACGGACAAAGGGGGCAAGGCTGCCTGGGACCGGCACTTCAGTGGCTAAACATGGGGAACTCACAGAATTTTCTAGATATCCCATTAAGGTCAAACTTTTACCCGATAATTGGATTGGATCCACATGTACGGATCCATCTTAAAATTTTGATATATATTTAAAATGGAGTTAGGTAGAGTGTGGTGTCGGATCTTCCTCCATATGCAAAGGGAGTTAAATTCCGATTGAGAAGGTGTAGGATATTATCCGTGAGGATGAGGTTAATTTTGTTGCGATGAAGAGTATGAGGAAGTGGACCAGAATTTCAGGAGGAAACACAACACCACAAAAAGAAAGGTCGAGTCGAAAGTGAGAAAAAACATGCACCGCCCAGAGGACAAGCCTAATCTTAGATTACTTGCGTACCCTCTGGTGAACTAACATAGCAATGGAAAATCACCATTTTTAATGGGAAAATCCACTATAAATGGCCATTTTCAATTGCTATGTTAGTTCACCAGAGGGTATTTGTTGCTGGTTCGTACACGCCCCCAGAAAAAGAACGCAAAGGACTCAAGTTGTGCAAAACTACCTGCTCGGCCCCATCCATTGGCAAATCGCCGTCAAGCGACTTTCCAAGCTGGGGTTGAACTTAGACCACGCGCTGCCTGCAGGAAATGCCAAGCGAATGCTCATGGTTTCATACCGGGAAAAACATATCTTGGTAGTGTGAAAACGTGTAAGAAGATAGATGTACGATGCAGGATGGTGTAGGATTGGGATCTTCCCAGCAAAGCAATCAGGAATTCCGTTCGGTGTAAGCATACTATCTGGAAATCAGGTATGGCAGTGGCACATCCCGATCCTCAATCATACAAGAATCTACGGACGGGATGGGGAGGAAGAGCCTATTTTTTGTTGCCACCTGTGGCCATAGCCAATCCCCAAATAAACAAGTTAACAGGTCAACGACCTCAAATGGGCATCCCAAAGTTCCCAGGTTTAGCTGCAGCTTTGGGGCTATTCCAGTTCCTGCTATGGCCCATAAAAATTAACCCAAACAGACCTGCATCTCTGCAGCCCGATCCTCACCTTCGTTTGGCTTCGGGATCCTTTCCAGCCTGTCTCCTCAGGCAAGGTCGTTCGGATCGATCTTGAAATGTGTATGTTGGTTCAAATCCTTTGCCTATGCCCGAACTTCTCGCATGAAACTGTAGAAAAAAATATTCGACCACTTCGTTGGTTTCTGTTGACTTCCGGCTAGACATGGATAAGTTCAAGCGGGAATATGAATGAATATGATAGGTCTTATCAGCCCATCTTCTTTGCCCCTGAATTCCTGTAAACCCAAGACTCGGTGACTGCAGACGTCAATCAGCTTGCTGCGAGCTCCTGGGGAAGCTGGAGGCGGGAAACCAAGCATTTCGAGCATCTTGAGGTGACACTTGATGCCCATCCATGCATGGATATATGATGATATATGTATATATGCATATATCATGATAATGGATCAAAATGTATATAGATTCACTTTACCACTGTACATCACTTTACATCACTTTGCATCACTTTGCATCACTTTGCATCACCTTCATCACTTTACATCACTTTACATCACTTTACATCACTTTACATCACTTTACATCACTTTACATCTCTCTCTCTCTCTCTAATTAGTCAGGTTTTAGATCAGGTGACACTTGATTCACTTGATAGTCTACAAGAAACCTACTGAATGTTCAACTACAGCAAACGCCAGTGTTGATGGTTTCCTCAACATGGTAACTCTGGTTGATTTGCCAAGGAAAACCATCCAGATCCATTGCTGGCTTGTCGTTTGGAAGGGTTGAAGCTCCGTTGCTGGAACCGCCGACCCAGAGAATTTGCGTTGTACTATAACAACCGCAGCGCAGGTCCTTCCATATCATGCCAATATGGTCCAATATGCATGTATTTTACCTATGCATGACGATATATATATAGAGAGAGAGAGTTATATATATATATAATTATATAAATATATGTATAAACATATGTATGTATATAATTATATAATTATATATGTATAATTACTTATACATATATATATATTGGTGGTAAAAAAAAATAGCAAATGTATATGTGTCAAATTGCATTAATGGCAAGTCCGGATTAATAAACCTCCCCCCCAGAAGGTATAGGTCCTAGCGAGAAGGTTCTGCCAAGGCTTTTGCCCTAAATAATCGACCTCCTAAGTTGAAGTTATAAGAGATCAACTTCCACTTGATATCAATCTACTTTCAATGGATTTTCCTTTCAAAGCAAAAAGAAATCTAAAGGTGCCAAGGGGGTTGATTAATTAGGGGAAACCCTGCCCAATTTTTTTGGGGGACTGGAAGCTTCTCACAGTGATGGTTTTTAAACGGATTTATTAACCAAATACAATGTGTTTTAAAGAAATGCCAAGAATTGGTTTGAACCAAGATTGCAAGACTGAGCCTGTGATTGCAACGTCACAAGTCTGTGACTGCAAAGTCAAAAGTCTGTGACTGCAAAGTCACAAAAAGGCTGGTGCCAATGCAACAAATAAATTACTCAACTCGTATGATTGTAGTTTGTGTTGAACCAACAGCACCTTATGGAGGAATCTCGGTCAAAGGCTCATTAGAGTCAAAGCTATGTGTGAGACTTGAAAGGAGTGGTGTTCAAAGCATGTGACTAAAATCATATCGGGGTACACCTGCCGGTATATTAATCGGGGGGACCAACCCATTTTAGTATTGCCCAAACCTTTTTCCTGCCTGGGGGTTGATTAATCCCTAGTGGTTTTAATCATCCTAACTGGACATTATAATCATTATACTATAATTATATATATATACATCTGTACACATATCTCTATGATTCTCTATGATTATCAAACGTTATAAAGGTAAACATAGGTGCCATCTCCGGCCAAGCTTCGCTCATCCGAACAGAGCTGCAGGACTGTGTCCAGGTCCGGGGGACACCGTCCTGGATGCGTCCGGTACAGGATGGGGGAAAAACCGTTGGGAAACTGTTGGGAAATCATGGGAAATCATGGGGAAATCATGGGGAAATACCAAGGGTGTAGCCAGTACATAGCAAGTTTGCACAGCGCGAGATTTCATTTAAAAAAACCGCCGGGATGTAAACTGAAAGCTCTCCAAGCGCAAGCAAATAGCCACATGGCTAGTGGATGCTAGTGATATGTTCAACGTTGCAGACAAAAGTGTCCCTTTGGTAGCGAGATGATTTGTATATGTAAGTGTGCAATATGAAAACACCTATATAATAGCCTGTATATTAATAGATACACCACGTATGCTTATGAATAACTGTTGTCATCCACCAAGGCGTACCATGTTCTATCAGTTTATCACACAGTGAAACCGCCATGCTTCGAGCAATTGCATCAACGATCTTCTGTTGCAAGATGATACCGAGACTCTTCACCTGCGGGGCAATGCAATTCATACAACAGTTGTTTTCATGGTCTCTTCATGTTCTTTTTTTAACGCTAAATTGTTTGATGTGTGCCGACAATCAGCGCTTGATTGGGATGGTGAATCCCCCCTCAGAAAACATCTCGAAACAAGTCATTGGTAATTGCACGATTGCTTTTAAAACCAAAAAAATCGATTGCCAGAAAACTTCAAAAGTAAGGACTGTCTCGACCCGATCTACTTGTGGCTAACCGTTGGTATCCATTGATTGCTAAAGCTGCTAAATGTTGTGTTAAGATGTGTTAACATATATCAACATCCACTCACCATCAACATGCAATTTACCATTTAAAAACCTATCGTTCACCATCTCACCAGCTTCACCAGTGGCACGGGATGGGCCCTCATCATATCGCCACACCTTCTGGTTGCTGCATGCATTGGTTTCCTTCAGCATGTCGATGAGATGTTTGCTGTCCAAATCCTTTCTGGGGTCCTCCGGCAGCATGCGTAGGTTTCCCTTGTACTGCTACAGCTGGAAACATGTGGAAAGCACAAGTCCGGATAATGTATGATAGGTTTTGAATTTTGTTTGAACATTTGTGAAAACTCCATATTTGTTGATCATTGCAAACAAAAACATTTAATTTTAATCACACTCATATATATATATAGATAGATTATTCAAAACGGTCACCACTGCAACAAACATAACCTGTTGATTGTTTAATGTATGATTCCAAAACATTCCAAAGCTGATCAAAGGCAGTCGATTTTGATTCTTTGCCCGACACTTCAAAACGGCAGGGTTTGGCCTCCTTTTGCCAAGTTCAGGTTTTGCCATCCATGGCCAAAAACATGCCCAAAAATATGCATACCCCCCCAACTCCCCGAAATCAACAGTACGACCCTGAAAATACAGTAACGAAACTTAAGTGGAAATTAACCTTCCAACCCCGTAATCACCCTAGTCATGGCGGGGTCTATATATGATAATTGGAAGGAAAGTATGGACTGTATCTGGCCTACCATCAGCCATGCCTGCTTCAGATGCGTTTCCAGTTCTTCAAGCGTCTCGAAATCCTCCGCATTCACCATGGCGGTCACCAAAATGACGAGGTCCTGGCGGAGGTCGAGGTACCGACATGGCGGAATGTTGGGCTCTGAAAGCAACCATTTGATGGTGACAATCCAGTGGGCCAACCAGCAAAAATGAAAAGGTAAATAGGAAAATGGTGATGAAACCAACCATGTGAGGATGAGGAAAAGGCGGGGGGTTCCTTCATAGGCTTATGTATCTCTCTTGTCAAAGGCTTTCTGGATTTTTTTGGGCCACTAGATTTCCCAATGGATTCCCACAGAATGCTAGGAAAACACCCATGAAATCCCACTCAAGCTCCTCAAGAATCCTACTGGATTCCCAAGGAAAACAAATGAAAACCCGGCAGGAGCAATCAGTCATGGAGATTCAACGGGATTTAAAAAACATCGTTCGCATGGGTAAAACAGAAGCGATAACCAAAACGAATGGGGAGTGAACAGCTCCAATGTTTCAGGAAAAATGGAGATGTATGTAATGGGGATGAAATTCTGATATCACCATGAGAAAGGGAATATAAAAAGGATATGTTTTATAGAATGAAACATATGGAGTAATATGGAACATAATGGGAATAACAAAGATAAGAGGTAATCGGATATACATTGGGGTACACAAGGGCTATAACCAACAAATATGAGATGGGTTTGTCTCGACACGGGGGTTGCCCCAAAAAATCATCACTTCCCCTCATGGACTTTCAGCGCCGCCAAACCCGTGTTGAGCCTCGCCATGCAAGCCCTTGACCTCATATGGCAATTTCAGTCCGGAACGTGATACTAAAATCGTGGGATGGAATGGATTTCCAGATTTTGAGACACCTAAGAGTATGGCTGCTGGGGGCAGCATCAAGAAGCCGCCATCCAAGGTTTTGTGGAGGGTGCCATCCAGCATATTGCATATTGGCAATGATTTGACCATGCCTTACGATTCACCGCTACCAAGAAAGGCCCATCAAGACAACAAAAAGGGATGTGTTTTTTCCCACGCCGGTTCTAGAGTTGTTTTGCAAATTGACCAAGGCAGACATACCAAACCCGGCCTCTTTTTGGTTCAGATTCTTTTTGAACCACTTGCTGCTGTTCAGCAATTTCAGAAACCTCAAGGGCCATTGTGTGGTCAAATGTCGGGAGATGTAGTGAACATAAGCAGTGGCTATGTTGCAGACACTATGCAAACACTTTACATTACACATCGGAATGTATAAAAGCAAACGTCGCTGGAACAAACTTAGGGACATAGAGTCAAATTTGAAATTTTCCAAGGAACAACAAAAATCCAAATGATTACTTGGATGTGCATCTCGGTGAATGGGTAAAACCAAAATAACATAACCCAATGATACTGGGATATACCCCAGTTCTGAATATATATATATATATGCATAGGCTATTAATTATATAATCGCTTACAGTTTGCAATGCTTAGAAGAAGCACCATGAAACACCCCAAAATATGTCGGATGAATATCCTGGGACTTGCCACGAGCATCCACGAGCAAATGGCAGCAGTAAACACGATGAGGGGGCACCTGTTTAAAAAGTAAGTTCAAACATGTTCAAACCATATTTCATGGAGATACCATGTTGACATCTCATGTCAATCGAGTGGGGGGCCTTCACAATTCATACTGCCAATCCCCAATTTGCTTTTGGCCATCGCAATCTCCTGTAGTGATGCTACACCAGGGAACCAGGTGTAGCAAAAACAAACAGGATTTGCCTCCGGTACCCTCTGGTAGTCTAAGCTGGCCATGAACATTTCATGACATTTGATGACATCCCGCAACCCCACCACTTACGAGGATTCTAACAAGTCCTTGCCCTTGTCAAAAAATGTTTATTCTCCGCTGGCCACTCCCTATCAGCCAGTCATCCTGTCATCCTGGGCCCACAGACTCGCCAAACACCAACAGTTCTTTGTGTCCGCAAATGTCTATACTTTTCTATACATATTGGGACGTGTCTATACACATGTCTGGATGCTTGTGTATGTATGTACGTTGCGTATCTATGCCTGCACGTATCTATCTACCTATCCATTACTTTCCATCTAAAGATGTGCCAGGTAGTGCCAGGCACGCGCCGGGGCGGAAGTTTCGAAAATAGGACATGGCTATAGGAATTGTTTATAGTTTATAGGAAGTCTTGGTGGGTTGGAAAGAAGTGAGCTGAAATGAAATGAAGTGAATAATACGAAAGGACATGAAATGAATCGACATGAAACAAAATAAAATGAAACAAAATAAAATGACATGAACGAAATGAAAAGAAATAAGAATGAAAATGAACATGAAATGAAATGACATGAAATGAAATGAAAAGAAGTGAAATGAATCAAGGAATGAATGAATGAATGAATGAATAAATGAATGAATGAATGAATGAATGAATGAACGACATGAATGAATGAACGACATGAATGAATGAACGACATGAATGAATGAACGAAATGAATGAATGAACGACATGAATGAATGAATGAATGAATGAATGAGTGAATGAATAAATTAATGAATGAATGAATGAATGAGTGAATGAATAAATTAATGAATGAATGAATGAATGAAAGAATGAAAGAAAGAAAGAATGAAAGAATGAAAGAATGACAGATTGAATGAATGAATGAATGAACGAATGAATGAATGAACGAACGAATGAATGAATGAACGAACGAATGTATGCTGACAGCTGGTGATTGAATGATTCTCAAGGATTGCATAGTTCTTCATTTTGTTCCTTTTTGCAGCCTCTGCGGGCGTGTGGACATGCATCTCAATGATTTTTGCACATAGGCATTTTTTGACACGGGTGCATCGGCTTGTAGGGTTTTCGTTGTTGTTTCTTCTCGTAGCAAAACTCAAAAGGACAATATGGTTGGACAAAATTCTGTAATTAATGTCCATCATCTTCTCTGGTGTTGCGTTGTTTTGTCGGATTTGGGCTCCGTTCCAGTATAGCACACGGATGGCATCGTACTTAGGCTGTGGGCGAAGACGTTACCACCGTGAACGTCGGGGTCATCCCCTGCTGAATGAATGACTGACTGAATGAAAGAAGGAACGAATGAATGAATGGAATGAATGGCTGCTTGAATAAATGAATGAATGAACGAATGAATAAAAAATGTATTCAGCCTCTTCGGGCGCTCACAAAGGGAGTGAAACCAAAACATGACATGTCTCTGCCACAGTGGCTGCCATTCGCAGTGCGCAGATGCGGATGTTCAGCAGGGCAGTGGTAGTGGCACGCAGCTAGCAGAAAATCTTTTGCAGAGGATGTTCCGTGGTTTCTGAAGACTACATCGCCATCAGCAAGATGAGATAAATGAAAAGAAATGGACAGAAACGGAACGCAATGGAATGTATGAATGGGATGAAAGCACGAAAGAATGAATGTTGGAATGAGTGAGTGAATCAATGAATGAATCGATGAAAGAATGAAGGACAGAACGAATCAATGAATGATAGGCTTCGAAGCATATATAGCTATATAATCATTTCAAAATTCATATATTATTTATTTATTTGTTGATTTATTTGCAGCCTCTTCGGGCGCATGGAAGATGCAATTGCAATTGTCCATTCTCCGGTGTTGCGTTGTCTTCTTGGGAAGCAATGAGAGCAGCAATGACTGACTGACTGACTGACTGACTGACTGACTGAACGAATGAATTGAATGAATGGAATGAATGGAATGAATGGAATGAATGGAATGAATGGAATGAATGGAATGAATGGAATGAATGGAATGAATGGAATGAATGGAATGAATGGAATGAATGGAATGAATGGACTGAATGAATGGAATGAATGGAATGTGAATGGAATGAATGGAATGAATGGAATGAATGGAATGGAATGGAATGAATGGAATGAATGGAATGAATGGAATGAATGAATGAATGAATGAATGAATTGAATGGAATGAATGGAATGCGAATGGAATGAATGGAATGAATGGACTGAATGGAACGGAATGGAATGAATGGAACGAATGGAATGAATGGAATGAATGGAATGAATGAATGAATGGAATGGACAATGAATGGAATGGAATGAATGAATGGAATGAATGAATGAATGAATGGAATGGAATGGAATGAATGGAATGAATGGAATGAATGGAATGAATGGAATGAATGGAATGAATGGAATGAATGGAATGAATGGAATGAATGGAATGAATGGAATGAATGGAATGAATGAATGAATGAATGAATGAATGAATGAATGAATGAATGAATGAATGAATGAATGGAATGAATGGAATGAATGAATGAATGAATGAATGGAACGAACGAACGAACGAATGAATGAATGAAGGCATGCATGCATGCATGCATGAATGCATGCATGAATGAATGAATTAATGAATGAATGCATGCATGAATGCATGCATGAATGCATGCACCTTTTGTCGACCTCATCTTCCAAGAGTGCTCCGGGACCCTCAGTTTTTTTAACGTTTTTTTTTTTTAATAACCAACTACTCGATGATGATGATGATGATGATGATGGTGATGATGGTGATGATGATGACGACGACGACAGTTTTTCAAGTTGTTTATGTGAAATCGATCTCTTGCCACTGTCTCGTGCACATTTTGTCGACCTCATCGTCCAAAAGTGCTCCGTGCACCTCAGTTCTTAACATTTTCAAGTGGAAATCGAGCTATCGCTACAGTCCTGTGCACTTTTTGTTGACAACTTTCCCCGATCGACCCGCGAAATCGCGGAAACAGAGACCCTCCTTCGGCGACCACGGAAGCCACTTTACCCAAAAAAAACACAGGGTTTCGCGCCCTAGTGTTTTCAAGCCTGAATTCACATGTTCCCGACCTCTTACACTTCCCAACTACTTGACTTACTTGACGACTACTTGATGATGATGCGGTTGACATGCTGATGGTGAGAAAGCTAACCATTACAATCGTCTGTAACTCGGAAGTTTCCTACCTTTGATAATTAAACTTAATGCATGAGTATATACAAATGTAT